GAATGCAGTATCATTTTCAGAATAAAAACAAAGCAGAAAAAAAAATAGAAGGAATCAAAAGAGATTAACAAGTCATAACAATGCAAATACTTACTTAACCCTGTAATTATTGGGCCATTTCCAGTGGGACTCTGACCACCTGTCCCTACCCCTGCTCCACCTACACTTGGGGAGAAACCGTTGCTTCCAGGAATGGGAATGAATCCTGCTCCTCCCGGGCCATAGCCATTGCCATTACCACCGGGAAGGAATCCGTTTCCTCCTGTGCCACCACCCCTGGAACCACCTCCAGCAGAAGTGCCATCCACACAAAGTCTGCGGTGTTCATCTATTGAACAGGAACAGAAAAAGAAGCATGAAGTAAATCAACCCTTCAAAGCCAGCTTCTAAGGAAGATAAAGATCTTTTTGCATGCTGCAAAAAACAGAACACTGGTTCTTCATTTCTTTCATGTTATGCATTCCCTTTCCCACTCCTAATCTCAAGGGCATTCCACAATTGTGATGGGTGTTATTTAAGGAAGGACACTAAGAATAATAAAAGGAAGTATTTTAATTTACAGCTATATGTCAAAACCATTTGTGTTTCCAACAGCATTAACTCCCTGATTTCTCAGAAATCTTGATACAAATAAACTGAAAACACATTTCACATGGGATGTGGAATAGCACTCTGTGAGCACAGAGTTGAAAAAATAAATGAAATGCTGATCATTTCTAGTTCAAAGTAACATGAAATTTAATGGAAAGGGAGAGCAGCTGTTCCTTTAAATCGAAATGAACTATGGACCTTCAGAGTCATTTCCTCTTCAAGATTTACCACAAAATCTTCCCCATTTCCCGAGAAATGCTTCCAATGTCAACAAAAGGACGTTAAAGAAACTAGTCCCAAACAATAATGGACCAGAAAAAAAATAGTTCACAGATGGAAACATCAGTATTAAAAACACTAGAATGAATAACAATCTAAATCTTGACTTTCTTTCTCCTTTTAACCTACATTTTAAAGTAGTTTTTTTTTTTTTTCTAAAAAAAATAAATAAAAACAAAATAAAAACAAAGCACCACTCACCAGATCCTCTAACAGGACACATCTCTGGAACAGATCCAATAGCCCAGCACCGGCCAGATTCACAGCAGCACTGCATTTTGGTGAACCTACCAGGAAGTTCTTGTGCACAGCGCCCATTCACTAAGCTGGAGAAACATGTACTTGCCCTCTGATCTGAAATTTAATTTAAAAAGAAAACCAAAAATAGTAACATTAACTTTCAAAAGTACTTTCCCTTATTCAGTTCATGTAAGTACTAAAACATTTAAAGAGCTGTATTTAAAAATCAAAACAAAACACACTAAACAATTACCTGAGGTGATTAGCACCAATCCATTCCACATTTGGTTTACTGCAAGGTTACATACATTCATTGACATGAGTCTTGCATTAATCCAACATCTAGTTATCAAATTCTTTTCTTCCAGTCTTGACAAGCTCTCAACTTCTTTCACAGACTACTATGTGGAATAGACTAGGCATATTTTCTCTAGTGGCTTTGTCAACAACCACTACAGAATTATTGGAAAGAATAAAAATCCCATAAATACTACTCAAATTTTTTCAGACTGTGTTCAATGAGTATGTAGAAGAAAGAATAGAGCCACTTCAAAATCTGCCCAACTATTGAATCTCCTGAACATGGAAGAAAATGGCCTTGACCAACTGTCCGTTCTCCTTTACTTGCCTTTCTCCTTTTCTTCTTCTGGACAGGACAAGAAGCTATAGCAACAAATTGGAACACAGGAGGTTCCTCCTGAACATCAGAAAATATGTTTTTACTGTGCAGGTGACAATACACTGGCACAGGTTGCCCAGAGAGGCTGTGGAGATCTTCAAAAGCTGCCTGCACATGGTCCTGGACACACTGCTCTAGGTGCTTAAGCAGGAGGGTTGGACCAGATGGCCTCCAGAGGTCCCTTCCCACCTCAACCATTCTGTGATTCTTACTGTAGTCTCAATCACATCTGTGCTTAATCACTATGGGTAGTGCCTCCTAACAGCATCACTAACATTCAGCTTGTATAAGAACAAGGCTAAGCCAACCATATATAAGGAAGAAATTCTTTAATCAGAGAGTTGTGTGGCACTGGAACAGGTTGCCCAGGGAAGCTGTGGATGCCTCATCCTGGGAAGTGTTCAAGACCAGGTTGGATGCAGCAACCTGGGGGGTTGGAATTAGGTGATCTTTAAGGTCCCTTCCAACCCAAAACCATTCTATGATTCTATTAACAATTTAAAAATATATATCAAAAAATAAATAATCAGCAGCTAAATACTGTATGTCACAGCATCCTATGCTAACAAACAATTAAAAATGGGAGAAAAATGAACATTGCAATGTGGTCAGATTAAAAAAAATAGTACATTCATTTGCATGTGCTAAACAAGACTTGAAGAAAATCATATTAGTCACTGGACTATGACAAATTGCTGCTAATTTATTTGAAGGAACACTGGATAGATCAATGTTGTTATCTTTTGCTCACAATATAGCTTCAATATAACCCAGGATGGCTATGGTAGATTCCAGAATTAGACACTGGAAAAGACAAATTGAGTCCGTTTTTCTTTCTTAACTTCAAAAAACTACAGACTTTGAACAGCTTAACAGAATCAACTAGGTATAAAAGACAGATATATACAGTTATATAAATTATATGTATATTTAACTGTACACAAGTTTTAAAAAGAAGACAACAAAACAACCAAGCCCAAGAAACTATTTTCTGCAAAATGTCTATCAGTGTAGCCTCATGCTAGTCATTATACTCTTTAAAAAAATAAAAAAGACTGAACAGCACCTTTTCCCATGAGTCATTTCAGTGAAATTAACATTTGAAGATAAAAAACATGCAAGAGGAACAAATGTAAGCTGTTCGTTTTTAACCAAGTCTTTTCTAAGATTAACACAAGCAATAAAACACAGGATGCATGAGGCAGAAGAAATATAACCCTGAAATATGACCTAAATCTACATAAAATATAGACAAACAATTACTAAGGTCAAAAACACAAATCTTACGGACTAGTATTTTTGAAATCACAGGCCCCTCTCCATAAACTAAGTTTAAGATGTTCGGCTTTAAAAAATAAAAAGCCAAAATATTTCACAGAAATACACTCTTGAGTATGAAGTAAAGAGCCTGGAACTGTAAAATATGTGTGGCAGAAGGTCTGGGGCATGTGAAGACACCAAAAATTCCATTTCTAGCTTCTTCTTTCAGCAAGTTTAATAACTATTCATTCACATACTTCTAACCATAACACATTATGACGTTCCAGTATTAGAAGGTCATAGAGATGCCACAGTGCTCAATGTGGCTGCTGGAACAGCACTCAGCTTTTTCAGTACAGTACCCATCCCAACCTCACATAAGGCAGGTCCACAGTCCCTCTCCAGTATCTACAAGCTTCTTTCACTCCAGATGCCTTCTCCAAAGACATAGCTGGAGCAAAAACATTACCCTTCTTCTGCATATATAAGTGACTATGTGGCAGACTGGTCCCGGGGTTTAGCTCAAATCATATCCTCAGCATATTAACAAAGCACTTGAGATCTAAATTCTGCTGAGCTAACAGGAAAGATGGCTGATACAAAGGATACAAAGCAATACAAATAGAAGCTACATAGGAAAAAATGAAAAACCCACTGTGAAAAAACTGAGACAATGTAACTGCAACCTCCATAAATTGATTTTGCCATTTCTTTTTCCCTTGGTGTAGATATATCTGATTAAAAAAAAAAAAAAAAAAAAAAAAAGGCCATCCAGTCTCCTAAAAATCTAACTCTAGCATAGCATTTTCAGTGTTAGTATGAGATTTAGTAAGTGCTTTAAGTGTCTAACATTATCCACAGAGACAGTAAAACAATTAACATGATTACCCGATCCTTTTCACAGCTAAAATAGGATTTGGTATATAGGATAAGATAGACATTGTTAGAGACATTGTTATATAGAATAAGACAGCTAAGATAGAATTTGTTGTTACACCTCTTTTCTTGAATTAAAGTTCAGATTATATTAAGCCAGAAATAATTTTGAGCACTTTTATTTCCCTTTGAATATTTCTTCAACTATAATTAGTTTCAATGGAAGAACCATGTCTGTGCTAAAGGTAGACTGAATGTATTACTGTATTTTAAGTATTACCATGTGAAAATTAAACAAAAATATATTTAAATAGATATGTACTTATTATATATCCTAGTTCTTTCAATTATACATCCTAGGTCTTTCATTGTCACACCTCTGAACACTAACTGGGATAAAAGCTCTATTAATTTGGAAAGACATGGTATGAATTAAAATAACTGTGTACATCCTGATATTTTGGTGATAAGTAAATATTTATCTTAAACTGAGAAAAACAAAAAAGTATGTATTTGTAATGATTACATTCTTTACTTTTCTCCTAAGCACTATTTTTTCTAATACTAAAATCCTTGAGAACACAAGAACATCCAGACAAAAGTTAATTTAAGGGAAAGACTGTAACAGAAAGGCCTGTTTTAGCACATTAGGGCAAACAGTTTTATGTGCAATTGGTTTTGGGAGCTGACTTTCAAAAATGAATTGTAAAAACATGCTAAAATCCATCAGAATTTTGATCATCCTGGAAATCATAGGCTGTCACGATTCCTGGGACCAGACATAATTTATTTAAAGCTTGGAACTCCCCAGATGAACCTGGTAATAACAACAGACTATGCTGTGCAAAAAATTATTAATGTAAAATCTCCTGCAGGCCTTGTGTTTCTGCTGGCATACGCCATGTATCTGTACTCTGGAACTCCCTTCAGAATTTCCATCCCTTTCCCAACATGAGATCAAAGTGCTATGAGATTTCTGAAATAAGAAAAACCACTTGAGAGCTAGAAACGACACTATTGTCATAATCAGCATTTTCAGTTAATTCATCCGTACAGTTTATACCATATATTTGGCATATCTGCAGCTGTACAAAAGAAAGCTAATGAGAAGATCCATGATTAGGTTTTCCCAGGGTGAGGCTCGTCCCCTGCACTCTGGGTGTCCTGACCCCTGCTATTTCCCCAAATGCGGGAAACTCGACCGCATAATTTGTGGTAGTGGGGGACTCGGTTCGCAATTTCTCTTGTTTTTTCAGGGCTCAGTGCTAGGGCCAGTTCTCTTTAATATCTTTATGATCTGGATGAGGGAATCAAGTGCACCCTCAGTAAGTTTGCAGATGACAGCAAGTTAGGTGCTTGTTGTCAATCTTCTCGAGGGTAGGAAGGCTCTGCAGGAGGATCTGGATAGGCTGGACTGATGGGTTAAAGCCAACTGTATGAAGTTCAACAAGGCCAAGTGCCGGGTCCTGCACCTGGGGCGCAACAACCCCAAGCAGAGCTACAGGCTGGGAGATGAGTGGTTGGAGAGCTGCCTGGCAGAGAAGAACCTGGGAGTATTGGTGGATAGTTGACTGAATATGAGCCAGCAGTGTGCTCAGGTGGCCAAGAAGGCCAACGGCATCTTGGCTTGTATAAGAAGCAGTGTGGCCAGCAGGGCTAGGGAAGTGATCGTCCTCCTGTACTTGGCTCTGGTGAGGCTGCACCTCGAGTACTGTGTTCAGTTTTGGGCCCCTCACTACAAGAAAGACATCAAGGTGCACAAAAGAGTCCAGAGAAGGGTGACAAAGCTGGTGAGGGATCTGGAGAACAAGTCCTATGAGGAGAGGCTGAGGGAGCTGGGCTTGTTCAGCCTGGAGAAGAGGAGGTTCAGGGGCAACCTTATTTCTCTCTACAGGTACTTTAAAGGAGGCCATAGCGAGGTGGAGGTTGGTCTGTTCTCCCATGTACGTGGTGACAGGATGAGGGGGAATGGGCTAAAGTTGCGCCAGGGGAGGTTTAGGTTGGATATTAGGAAGAACTTCTTTACTGAAAGGGTTGTGAGGCACTGGAATGGGCTGCCCATGTTGAACTTAGCGATATGGTTTATTGGAGGATTGTTAGTGTTAGGTCAGAGGTTGGACTCAATCTTGAGGTCTCTTCCAAACTAGAAATTCTGTGATTCTGTGATATATAACTTTTAATAATAATAATAATAATAATAATAATAATAATAATAATAATAATAATAATAATATAGCAACAGTTTTTAAATAAATTACCATTTAAAACATTCAACCTACTGAAACTTAATATTTGGTTTGTTATATTACCTGTTATGGCCAAATTAGTGGCAACTCAGCATAGTTTAATGCCTCATAGTGATTTCTAAAGGTTAAATTAACCTATGTGAGATGGAACTTGAAATACCAAGTTTGTTTGGTATTAAAATAAATGTTTGCTCCTTTAGAATTGAAGTAAGCTTAGCCTTTGGTTTCATTAGATACAGATTTACGAAGAAATACGATTAACATTTCTTATGTTTTCCAACAGAGAGATATTCATTCCTTTTTTTTCCCCTAAAAAAAATCCAGATCTCTGGCAGGAGTTCTCAGCCTACTGCACAGCTGACATTGAGAGATCTACAATCTACATAAAGATTGCTGTAGTGGCAACCATGAGAGGAAGAAGATGTTAGGAATTTTAAGTTGTTGGATCAGAGTGATACTAGTGAGTTATCTAGTGAGTAAGGTCCTGTCCCAGCCATCTAGCATTCTCCCCTAGGAGTCCTGCTGCTGTGTATAAATTGCCTTCATAACCTTAAGAGCTCTTCAAGCCTACAGGATGGAACACCTACCTATACAGCGGGAGCCATCCATAGATGTGACATATCCCCGGGGACAGATGCAGAAATAACTTCCCACTGTGTTAGAACATTCGCCACCTTCACAGATTCCTGGGATGATGTTGCATTCATCAATATCTATTCAAAAAGGAAAATACAGAAGATGATGAGCAAAACATTTGCACATATTGTTGTAAAAGAGAAGGAAAAATAACTTCTCTGAAGTGAAATTGTTATTTAGCTCAGATTTAATAATATGCTGCTAGTTGCAAGCTGCTGTGAAGGGTGCCTTTGCAAATTGTTTTGTTTGCCATCTAATGCAGGCTTTCCTTACAGATTCAAAGTATGCACCACTTCAAGTCCCAGAGAGGTAGACTGGGACTTCCACTAAACAACACAGACTGAGTGCCATCTCTAGGAAAAATCCAGCAGCTACAAGACAACACAAAAACACACACCCAGCTTCTGAGCTGAATGAACGAAGATGATACAGCAGCCAAGCATGACAGCTCTGGGCTTCTGTGACCACGAAGATATTGCTCATCAGATCTAACAGTTGCTCATCAGATCTAACAGTTTTCTGGCCTTCTTCTAGTACTTCAGCTATAAAGAAGAATTTTGGCTAGTTCTTCAGAAGTATAGACCAAACGTTGCGTTTTCATTTTTTTTTCAGATATTTTTAATCTATCCAAACATTTCTGTTAACTAAAAACAGCAGTCTCATCTAAACACTGACAAATTGCACATGTAAATACATGGAAATTGAGATGTCATCAAGCTGATGAATGAGCTACTGCAAATAACTAAGGGCTCTAGGGCACTCAGCACCAGGACTAAGAGGATAGAGGAGTGTCCCAGCGCAAAGCAAAAGAAGGTGCTAAGGCAATGAGGAACAACAGAGGAAGCAATCTGACTGTACTCTCTGTACTCTTAGAGAAAGTGAAGCACAGCAAAGCAAACTGGGATGGAAGAAATACAAGTGAGGAAAACAGCATGATGGTAAGGACTGTCATGACCATTGACAAATGGTCATGAGCTGTTGTAAGTAACCAATTCATTCCGCAACTGTGACAATCTTTAGGTATTGGAATATTTTTAGGCCCTGTTTAGCAACCTGATTTTGGCTTTAAGTGACATCTGTCTATTAGTATTCCAATCGGCTTTCAGAAAATGTGAAGTGTGGCCCAGGTTTAACACAGGAGGCTTCTGTGAAAATGCAGGAAAGAATGGCCAACTTTCTAACTAGCTTCAGATGAGTTATAGTTTCCAGTTGAATGATAAGGTACCACAGATTTTAATTGGCTTAATACCAAGAGTAATAATTGATACAAGGCTTAACTTGTTTGTAAACTTCTGGTGCAGTATTGATTTAAGACTTTCATACTGCGAAACAGAGTTAAATCAATATATAAAAAGATCAGACACCTGAACCCAGACTGTCTCATGTCAAATAATTCTAGAGAATCATCAGAAAGAGCAAATGGCAGTTTGATGGCACTGATTCTTCACATTCTCAGCAAGAAGTCTTGGCACTTTTATAAAGATCATCATTTTCCCTGACACTGCCACTCTGGAAATTGCCTTGAGATTAATGACAACTTGAGGAAGAAACTTTATGCACTGTTATTTCTTAGGATGCTTTTATGTAATGAACACTGTGCCTCCTCCCCCACTACATTCTCCACACTGAAAACTCAAAGAAAACAAAGTGTGCCAAAAAGATCTGGTATGCACAGGTTCTATATTAAAAAGGTAACTCCCCACTGTGGGAAGTTCCACACATAAAGAACTTTATTTAGATATGAATCTACAGTAGACATTCAAGTACTGCAAAGGAAAATTAAGTTTTGCAAATGAATACTAAGAATGTGAGAACTGTTCTTTGTAAAGGTGAACAAAGCACCCTACCTGTCCCTAGTGACATGTCTTTTTGAGTGTCACTGTAGAAAAGACAATTTATCTCACAGGTAATATTGCTTCAAACTACTTTAATCCACACATAGAAGCATCTTGTGACCCCTTATTGTTTGTTTCACACTGTGAAGCATAATCAAAAGAAGCATAAATTTTGTCTTTTTAACAATGCTATTTAAGCATTTCAGAGGACACAAAAAGTTTAAATTTTACTTTGAAATAGTTATGAAATGATAACAACTATTCCCCATATCTGAGACATCTGTTCAAGTATGTACAAAAGACAGTGTAATTTCTCCTAAATAAAAATAATTTTAAGAAATAACGTTTTCACTCAGGACTTCATAGTTAGTCAACATAGAGATTCCAGAATTTGAAATGTTGGTGTAAGTCAAAACCAAACAATTTCCCAGAAAATCTCTGAAATCTTGCATTAATTTAATGTTGTTGAAGATGATATATATAATGTGGTGAGTTGCTTACCATATGATTTCATGAAAATCAAATGAAATCATGTGTGTAAATCAAAACAGAACCAAAACTAGTTGGATGCCTTGTTGGGATCTTTCATGCAGCAAACGCAGCACAACCTGTAAGCCCTTTAAAGAATAACACTACCTTCTGTATAAACACACGCACAAACTGAAACATCACATCAGAAAGGCAACAAATAGGACAAAAGGAGGACTCTACAGGAACAGCCTCCATCTAGAAAGTGACACTTTGCCAACAGCAGAGTCACTGGGTATTCATGGGAGAAGACTCCCTTATCCTACCATCACCTAAAGTACAACTTCCAGCTCAAGGAAATACAGCTCTACCCTTTTCCTTCACTACTGAAATAGCTCCAATAATAAATTCCAAAACCTATCCTGAAGTTTAGAGGCACCCAAGCTTTGATAACAATATCACCAGTGGTATAAAACAATGGAGATACTGTCTGAAGATGCAGATGTTACACACATGAATGGAATGGCGCAAAGTAGGTAGGAACTGCCACCAGTGATACATGAAAAAATTACATTTAAGAATTCCTGATCTAGGAGCTAGCTACGTATTCTTTAAAAATATCTGTTTTGTTCAGTCACTCTCACAGAATGTGGGTCTTAATTTTGTAGTTTTCACAGCATTTATTTCACATTTTATAATTGAGATGCAACAGCAGCTCCTATACAACTAAAGTGAAAAGAAAAAAAAATCAATAAAGATTTGAATACTAAAACCACCAGGCACTTCAAAAATGTCATCCTCCAATTCACTTTCACCATGGCACAGGTACCTGTTACTTTAAAGGCAGTAAACATCATTACAGGCACCTGACATCTGGTCTTCTACCACAGGAAATGAAATTCCAAACTAGTTGGTCACACAGTACAAAGCCCACTCAGGTACTGAGAGTAGCTGCAGTTTGTAGTCTTGGCAACTGAGAGAGAGACTGGAAGGAAGTAGTTAGCCATTTCTGCAAAGCTGCAGAAGGTAAGCCACACTGCTTACCTACTTACATGCACAGGG